CTCCTGTGACAGCCAGGGGGGCGGCCTCGTCCCAGCCGCCGCCTCCGCCGCCGCCAGCGGTGAGAATGTCCTCGCCGCAGAGGAAGGATGACGCAGAGGAGGGGGAGGAGGATCAGACTCTCAGCGCAGGGGATGAACAGGACAAGGAGGATATGGAGGGGGATTAGGAGGAGGATAAGGAGGAGGATACGGAGGAGGGCGACTGTAGGAGGACGAGGGCGACGAGGAAACAGAGGATGATGGGCAGGATCCATGCGGCGGCGGAACTGTCCATGGTCGCTGAAAGCTCCTCTGGAAGCTTCTCAGCCCCCTCCTCGTCCAGGATCAGGGAGCAGGATGAGGAGGAGGGGGCCGAGGAAGGATAAGACGAAAGGGGCGGGAATGGCGAGGACACGAGACCAGAGGGGCTCAAGGAGCGGGAGGACGGGGGAGGAGAAAGAGACGAAAGGGGCTTAAGGCTGAGGGGAGACGAAAGGGTTTCCAGGATAACGAGGATCGCCAGGGATGGAGGACGAGGGGAGGAGGAGGAGGAGGAGGAGGAGGAGGAGGAGGAGGAGGAGGAGGAGGAGGAGGAGGAGGAGGGCGAGGAGGAGCAGGAGCAGGAGGAGGCACGAAAGGAGGACGGGGAAGACGAGCCAGAGACGAGGGGGAGCCTCAAGGATGCTGAGGAACGAGAGGAAGGAGGCGGGCCGAGAGGGGCCGAAGGAGACGAGATCGATGAGGACGAGAGGGAGGCGGGCGGGACGAGGAGGGGCTTCTGGATCGGGCGGGTGGTAGTAGGAGTTGACCCGGATAGGGAGGTGAAGAAGAGGGCCCTAAAGGGGGCCTTTAGGACCCTTTGCTTTACCCCCCCATTTAGGTCACCCCCACTACCTTGGGGGCGGAAAGATACGGATACGTGTTGTCCCCGGACCTCTCTTGGGGTGCGTTCTGACCAGAAGTTCGAGGCGAATCCAGCGGTGACAACGAGGATTCCCCAGGAGGGCCAGGAAAGGCCGAAAACGAAGGGGGACAACACGTATCCGTATCTTTTTCTCCCCCGACTACCACCCGCCCGACAGGAGCATGAGGCTGTTAGGCCCCGCGTCCTCGCCGTCCAGCGCGACGGCTGACCTGCCGCCTCCGCCTCCCGAGCTGTTCGGGCCGCCCGGCCCGCTCCGGCCCCCTCCGCCGTACGCCGCCTCGCGGAAGGGCTGCTCCTCCTCCTCCCCCTACCTCCTCCTCCTCCTCCTCCTCCTCCTCCTCCTCCTCCTCCTCCTCCTCCTCCTCCCCCGAGCTACTCCTCCTCCCTCCCGAGCTCCTCCTCCCCTCCCGAGCTCCTCCTCCTCCTCCTCCTCCTCCTCCTCCTCCCCTCCTCCTCCTCCTCCTCCCTCCTCTTCCTCCTCCTCCTCCTCCTCCTCCTCCTCCTCCTCCTCCTCCTCCTCCTCCTCCTCCTGGGGTGCACGGGGAGGACCAGCAGCAACAGCAAGACGGCAGAGCTAGGAGAAATACGAAGAAGGGACGTGCGGCGGCGAGCGAGAGGGGGAAGCGAGAAGGAAAAGGCCGTCTCAGAAGGCGGCGGAGCTTCACAAAGGCCTCTGGCCTTCTCCCCAAGACGCAAAGCCGCGCGTCGGAACGAACGGCGCGGCGACTAATGCTGAGTCGATCACCGCTCCAACATCCTCTGGCGGTGTGCTATCAAAGCACCTGCGGGGAGGTCAGAGCACTGGAAACCGAATCGTATGTGGGCCCTGGGCCAGAGCACCGCTGCGGAACAAAGCATATTGGCACGTCCTCGGGGCGTATTTTTGACATCCGCTGGCCCCCGTCGACCTTCCCCGTCTTCCGCCAGCGGAGTCGCCCTTGTTTTGCTCTTGCCGCCGCCTCTGAACGGGGAAAAGGAGGCATTGCACAGAGAGGCACGACTGTGCTTCTATGTGGTGTTGATGCCTTCCTGCCTGCCTCGCTGCTGACTAAACTCGGAAGAAGAGACACGAGAGTGTCAACCCCTTTACCCGCTGGACCCCTCACTCTAAAAACTGCCCGAAGAGGAGATTTCCAATATGAGAGCACATTGTTTGAATGCCATGCCATGCCCATGAGTGATATCATGATCTTCTTCGAAAGTGTGATCCCCGCAGGCTCGGGATGACGCCCTTGAAGAAGCATGGCTCAGTGACTGGCACTGCTTGCTGGCATGACGGGCCGAAGGAGGGCAGCCATGTCGATTCCCTCCCAGAACCTTCCCTGTCAATCCTCCCCTCTCCTTTCACCCTCACGGCCTGGGTTCCTCTGTCTGCGGCGCCACCGCCCTGCCCCACAATGACCGTCAGGTACTGGGTACCGGCTGGCAGCGTCAGCACTGCTTGCGCGTATCCTCCTGAGCCGCCAGCGCCTCCCCCCATGTCGCGCCCACCACCAGCGCCCCACACCGTCACCTTAAAAGAAGTGAAGCCCGATGTGTCGAATGTCTGGTCCTCGCCCACAAACTCGAAGACCGAGGCCGTCAGCGCGACCACGCTAACACCCTCTACCTTGAGAGGTCCCTCGGACACGCTGTCTATGCCGTAGACAGAGGCCACACGCTTGAGCAAGGAGGCGCCGAGGGTAGGCGAAGATGCAAGGGTAGCCTTCGCTGGCTTAGCTTTGGAGGTGTTGGAAGGTAACACGAACACTTCCGCCATGAGGTAATCGTCCGAAATGTGCACTTCTACATCGTCGGTAGTGATCCCGTTTCTGGACTCTGTGGCCACTGCCTGCTTCACCTTCTCGACGAAGTCCTTCCAAATTCTCACTGTCTGCTCGAGCTGTTCCATGTCAATGTTCTGCACCATGAACGTGCAGCGCACCCCGACCACAATATCCGGCACCTTGGGTGCGCGTGGCTCGGGCGCCTCATCTTGCAACCCCGGCTGTGATGCTTTTGCATGGCCGCCACCGCCCTGCGCTGCGGCATCTCCTGGGCGCGCCGCTCCCGCACCCTTCGACTGGCCCTGCGCTCCAGCTCCAGTGCGCCCCGTTCCGGTTCCGGCTCGAGCTGCCACTGGTGGCCTGGCTCCCGGGCCGGATTTGGGTGCAGCTTTGGCACGGGGTGCCGCCTGTCCCGCTTCCTGCCTCCGCCTCAACGTGGCCTGGATCTTCCGTGCGGCTTCTTCCCGCTCCCGCAGCTCCTGAGGCGACAACTTCCGTGCTGGTGCTGGCACTCTCGCCTTTGGCGCGCCTCTGCCTCCAGCTCCAACGCCCCCCGTCCCAGCTCGCACTGCTGGTGACGGCCCTGCTGGCCTGGCGCCAGGACCAGCTTTGAATGAAGCTTGGGTTCTGGCAGGACCAGCTTTGGGTGCAACTTGGGCTTTGGGTGATGGTGGCCGCCCTGACGTTTTGGCGCCAGGAACAGCTTTGGGTCCAGCTTGGGCTTTGGGTGCTGCCTTGGCTCCGGGAACAGCTCCAGCGGCCTTCGCCTCGGCCAATCTCCGCCTCTCCTGCTGGCCGCGCAGGGTAGCCTGGATCTTCGCTGCAGCCTCGTCTAACTCCTGCTGTGACGGCGGCCGCGCTGAAGGCCTTGGCGCAGAGGCTTTCGCCGCTGCGCCACCCGATCGTGCTGATGGTGGTCGTTGTGCTGGTGGTGGGCCTGCTATCTTAGCGCCAGGACCAGCTTTGGGTGAAGCTTGGGTCCTGGGAGGTGGCGCTCGCCCTGCTGTCTTGGCGCCAGGAACAGCTTTGGGTCCAGCTTGGGCTTTGGGCGCTGCTCTGGCTCCGGGAACAGCTCCAGCGGCCTTCGCCTCGGCCAGTCTCCGCCTCTCCTGCTGGCCGCGCAGGGTAGCCTGGATCTTCGCTGCAGCCTCGTCTAACTCCTGCTGTGATGGTGGCCGCGCTGGAGGCCTTGGCGCAGATGCTGGTGGTCGTGCGACACTGGCACCAGGAACAGCAAACGCAACAGCTTTGGGTGCCGGTGCCGACGCAGGCTGTGCTCCCGCAACTACGCCAGGGTTCTTCGCTGTCCGCTGTGCTCCAGCAGCAGGTCCAGCAACATTCGCATTTGCTGCTGGCGCCGCTGCAGGCGTAGGCTTTGCTCCACCGACTGCACCAGGGGTCTTCGCAGCACGTTGTGTTCCAGCAGCAGGTCCGGCAACATTCGCCTTCGCTACCGGTGCAGTCTTTGCTCTGGGAGCAGCTCCAGCGGCCTTCGCCTCGGCCAATCTCCGCCTCTCCTGCTGGCCGCGCAGGGTGGCCTGGATCTTCGCTGCAGCCTCGTCTAACTCCTGCTGTGATGGCGGCCGCGCTGGAGGCCTTGGCGCAGATGCTGGTGGTCGTGCAGCACTGGCACCACTGGCACCAGGAAAAGCAGCCGCCACAGGCCTTGGCGCAGATGCTGGTGGTCGTGCTACACTGGCACCAGGAACAGCAGCCGCAGCAGGCCTTAGTGCTGGTGCCTTCGCTGCCTTCGGTGCCATGCGGCCTCGCGTGCGGCGCCCAACATGGCCGCCATGGGCGCCAGGGGACCCATCGAGGCGCCGCTGTCTGGGCTTGGCGGTACAAATGCTGCGTGCGAGAAAGGCCGAGGCCAGTCTGGGGCGACATCCAGGAGAGCAAAAGCCAGCATGAGCATGAACTTCCAGCGGTCCGCACAGATGTCTTGGATCTACACTGGACCCCCTTCCCAGGAGAGCAGAGCGAGCCAGGGCTGTGCAAGCGGCGCTGCCAGAGGGCCCAGCGCAAAAAGCAACGCACGGACCTCGAAATGGGATTCTTATTTTCTCTGGATACCCAGCTCTGACCTCACCGAACGCCCCCCTGCTGCTCACATTATCAGACTCGTCCTCATCACCTTCATCATCGTCAACAACAAAATAACATCATCGTCATCATCATCATCATCATCATCATCATCATCATCATCATCATCAACATCATCGTAATCATCATCGTCATCACCGCACTCACACGAATCACTATCGATCATTCACCATCACACCATCATTATCATCATCATCATCATCATCATCATCATCATCATCATCATCATCATCATCATCATCATCTTCATCATCATCATCATCATCATCATCATCATCATCAGCATCATCATCATAGTCATCATCAGCATCATCATCAGCAGCAGCATCATCGTTACCATCATCACCATCATCATCATGATCAGCATCATCATCATCATCATCATCATGACCAACACCATCAGCATCATCATCGTCATCATCATCAGAGGCAGCATCTCCACCATCAGCATCGTCATCAGCATCATTATCCTTATCAGCACCATCATGAGCATCATGAGCATAAGCATCATCATCAGCAACATCATTATCAGAATCACCATCATCATCAGCATCATCATCATCATCAGCATCAGCATCATCATCATAACCATCATCGCACACCCAACCACATACACTCACATTAATACCACCACCATCACTATTATGTGTTCACACGAACTCGCACACTCATTCAAACTCTCACTCACACCCACATGCTCACACATGCACCTTGATGAAGTCTCGAGCGGGAGCCTCGCTTATGACTAAAGTGCGAAAAATATCTCAGGCAAGAGTCCCCTCCCTGTAGGGCCGCTAGATCACGTAGGCAACCCGAACGGTTCATCCAAATCTTACAACTGTCGTCACATTTGACCTCCTGAGGCGTGAGTGTGGAGGACCTCTAAAGCGGGAGCCTCGTCTGTGAGTGCCATGTGAGGCAGTGTCAGGCGGGAGTCCCCTCCCTATGGGGCCGCCAGATCACGTTACCAATCCGAGCGAGCCATAATTGTTGTCACTTTTGGCTTCCTGAAGCGTGGATGTGGGGGAGTGTCGAGCGGAAGCCTCGTGTGCGGGTGAACCGTGAAGAAATATCAGGCGGGGGGGCCCTCCGTATGGGGCCACCTGATCACGTTTGTAATCTGAACGGGTCATCCAAATCGTGTAATTCTCGTCGCCTTCTGGGTGCATGAGGAACTGTGGATCTGGAGGAACTCCCGAGCGGCAGCCTCTTCTATGAGCGGATTGTGATGAAATCTCAGGCGGGGGTCCCGTCTCTATGAGGCCGCCAGATCACGTTAGTAATCCGAACGGGTCATCCAAATCGTGGAAGTGTCGTCACCCTTCTGGGCTCGTGCGGCATAGGGTGGATGAAGTCTCGAGCGGGAGCTTCGTTTGTGAGCGAATTGTAATGAAATCTCAAGCGGGAGTCCCCTTCCGTATGGGGCTGCCAGACCATGTTAGTCCGAGCGGGACATCCCAATCCTACAAGTATCGTGTTTGTTGGGCTCCTGACGTGTGGATCTTTGAGGAAGTCTCGAGCGGCAGCCTACCTCCCGACGCGGTTCGCAGATCAGGTTACTAACCCGAACGGGCTATCCCAGCCCTGCAACTGTCATCATTGTCAAGCTCGGGATGCTTGAATTTGAAGGAAGATTCGAGCGGGGGCCTCGTTTCATAATGAATGGTGAAGAACTCTTGAGCGGGGGGCCCTACCTAGGGGGGCACACGGATCATGTTACAAATCCGAACGGGCCACCTGGACCATGTAACTGTCGTCGCGGCTGGGTTCCGGAGGCTTGAACCTGAAGGAAGTCTCGAACGGGGGCCTCGTATATGAGAAAACGGGGACGAAGTTAAGCAGAACCCCTTTTCCGTATGAGGCCGCCGATCATGTTCCCAATCCGGGCGGACCAACTCCAGGAGAAGACGGCACGTGAAAGCGTGCGCCGATGCAAGCATGCCCAGAAGAGTTGCACGGAAGTCTCGACAGGGAACACCTTTTTACTTTATGAGGCCTCGAAAGCGCGGAAACTGTCCCTACGGCACCCGCGGGCCACATGACTACTCCAAACGGGCATCGGGACCTTGCCAGGTCAACCTTCTCACGCTAGAAACATCGTCCCAACTGTGTACAGACGAGCGCGTTCCACGACTCGCAAAGTGACTACTCGCAAATGGCCTAGATCCGCCCGGGGGGGGGGTCTACGAGAAATTACATCGAAGCTGACCTGTTAAATTCTGACGTTTGCGAGTAGGCATTTTGCAAGTAGTGGAACGCGGCTGGCGAATGTCAGGAAAGCGAGGACACGCATTCGCCCCGCGCATCGTGTTATCGTCATTGGAACGCGAATCGGATTGATTTCCCACACCCCGAGTGGGCCGTGGGACGCGGCCATCGAGGTGTTTCCTCTCCTCGCTTCCTCCGCCCCTCCTTTCTGTCCGTTGCGCTGGTGAAAAAACGTCCCGATCATGCGCAAAACGGGGGATATCCACTGCGCCTTGCCAGGAAACGTCGGCATGAAGGTTCGAGTCGCGGCCGTCCAAGAGGGGTGAAAAGAAGCTTTGGCTCGTGCAGGAACAGCGGGCCACCATCGTGTCCTTCGAGCTTCACTCCGTGGGCGAGCAGCTGCACGAGGAGCGCGCGCCAGGCCAGCTCTGTCGCCCCCCGCTTCCTACCGCAGGGACTCTGGATGCACGGCCTCAAGCAGTCCCCGATCGACCGGGAAGTCGCCGAGCTGCTGCTACAAGGTGCCAGGGACGACGTCGGCGAGGCCAGGGCGCAGGCGCGGAACTTGCTCACGTGCAGGCCCAGCGAGAAGGAGTTCACGTCGCAGGCCTCGGTGCCGCGCGCCGTGCGCCGTGCCCCGCTCGGGGCTCACCCTGGCGCAAGCGCCCTACCTCACCTCCACGGCATCGCAAGGTCAGACGCTGCGCAAGGGCGTCACCATCGGCTGTGCCAGGGAGGAGGACGCTGGCCGCCCGGGCATGCCGGACGATCTGTGGTGACTGCGCATCTACGTCATGTTATCCCACGCCACGCGCATGCGGAACATGCTGATCCCGCGGCCGCACTCGCGCGAGCTTCTGGAGCGCGGGCCGCTGGAGTCTTTTCAGGAAATTCGCCAGGAGAGCGGCGAGCTCCAGGGCTGAGGCCGAGCAGCTCGCCGCTGAGCTTGGCTTCGCGCTGCCTACCGCTTGAGCGCGGCCGCGCCCCGCTCGAAGCCCGCGGGGTCGTCGCAACAGCTTAGACTCGGGCGCCAGCGTAATCCGGGTTTGCCCAAACGGATTGGCTCGCGAGGTTGTCCCAACGGTTTCGCCCCTGCCCACCGAAGCGGCGACGGCACCAAAGAACATCGATGTGCGCGCCATTGCAATGTAAGTGGGGGAGGTGGCGGAGGGTGAGGAAAGCCAGGAGGGCGAGGAGGAGGCACAGCATGGCGCGGGAGGAGGCAAGAACGACGATGAGGAATACTTCCAGAGTAACCGAGAACATCATCATGCGGGATCCTACCGTCGGAATAAGGTTTATGCAGTTGTTGTTCTTCGGACATCAGCCCCAAAGGCGCAGAGCTTCGGCCGAGGACGCTCCTCAACAATCAAAATGTCGCAGCTCCGCTCCCAGATGCCCCTCGGAAAACGTCGTCGTCCCAGTGCCCGACAGTCTGGGGCCCCCCGACCGCCGAGGGGCTGCTGACATCACACGAGGAGCGCGGTGATGCATCACACGCAGGACCGCCTGCAGCACGGGGCCCGACCACAAGAGACCTTCTGCAAGAATCCAAGCCCTGAGACCCCAGGGGCGTCCCTTGATTCTTGGTGCGGGCACGCCCGGCTCTCCACAGCAGAACCATCGCAACCCAAGGAGGAGGAGGAGGAGGAGGAGGAGGAGGAGGAGGAGGGTGCTTCTGGGCGTGGGCGCCCCACTGCGGACCAGCCCACTGCTGCCCTGGAGGGCACGCAGCACGGAGAGTGATGCCCACCCACGGCTGCAGCTGCCTCGCGCGTGCCCAGTGCCGCCTCGCGGGGGCCTGCCGCGCCCGCGCCGCGAGCGCTCCCGGAGGTGACCGCCGCGCCCCGCCGAGGAGGCCAAGCCTACCCCGAGATGAAGAGCAAGATTGGAGGCCTCCTGGATGAGGTCCGAATAGATGGGGTCGGGGGATCGCTCCGCATCGCCGATGCATCGGCGACGTTGGCGACGCATCGGCGACGTCGGCGTGGAGAACATGGGGGTCCGCATCAAGCCGCATCGCTGATGCATCGGCGATGCAGCGCGATCTCCCGCCACCACCTCCGCCCAGCCCGTATGGGACACTTAGAAACCTCCTGCGTGTTCAGAGACGCTATTTGCGGCACTTCCACTTCGCCCATCGGAGTGAAGGCTCCATCGAAACTGACAAATTTGCACCTCAGGCTGGCATCCTTCCACGAGCGTCGCTCGCGCCAAGGGCCCTCGAAAGCTTAGGCGTCGACACCATACGGTTTGAAAAATATTGGCGACGGTCCTGATGGCCACCGATCGAGTCTAAGAGGCTCGTGAGATGCTCCGAGACAAACCCAAGACAGCAAATCCGCCGATCCGGCGTGTGAGTTTCAAGGAGTCTCAGCTACAGCCTCGAGGCTGAGCCTCAGCCTCTAGGGGGGTTGCCGGGGTGGCTCTGCCGGGGAAGGGGGGGTGGGGGGGGGGGGTGCGAGTTTCTGGCGGATGCGTTTTTTGACACCCCTCACAAGGATCGTGGCCTCCGAGGGGGTTCCGAACTCGAGTACCA